TTCTTTTATCCGATTCAAAGCAACCTCAGCGCACACGAAGAACTCGAGTGTATCTACGCTATGTTTATGTCTGGCCTGATGGTCCGGGAAGCACTTTTCATAATTAACTTGTCTCTATTTCAAATATATATCTCGTATGGTAGTTCAATGCAATGCACCCCGTAGAACTAAGGTTGGCTTATGGGCATGACGGATAATGGATTTGGACGAAATGTGACAGTCACTGTTGGTTGTAATCGCCCAGAACTTGCGTGTTGGAAGTTGGCGAAGACGTTATGTAAAGTTTGATACTGGCATGACAGTGATTTTCGAAGGGACCGTTTCGAGGACAGATGTACATAGGTGCCTTGCAACTGACTTTGCGACAGCGATCAAGCCGTAGTATCAGCCCATACGTGGTCAACATATAGTGTGATTCTGATCAGAATGGGCACCTTTAAACATCAAGATCTAAGTTCTGGTGGTGTCTCTGTGGCCATCTGGTTGACTGATACATATCTATATATCGATATAGTAGAAGGTCATGATATGGATCATGAATCCTAATAGACGAGTGCATTCTGATCACCTTCAGAGTAGACAAGAATGGAGGTGAGCACCTGGAGAGAGGTTGATTGGCATCGATCATCTGTTTCAGACCGGAGACTGCAGATGTGTCCCGAAACTTGAGAGCCGGGACACGAAGGCTGCTACCATATCGATCGCTGGGTCTGAGTAGTGACGCAGAGGATATCCTAAATCGGGTCAGCCTTTAGGAAATGAAAAATATTATGAGACTCCTGCCACAATATGTGAAATTTCGGAACCACTTGTGACGTGATTGATGTATATATGTTCAGGCAGACAGGGTCCATTCGGGGTCCGTTGATTCCAGATTGGATGGGCGCACAACGTGTACGTGTTCTGTGTGTATCAGCTTCAAGGTGAGAAAAGTTGTGTCAACTATGAACTTGAAGATGAGTGGTTGTTACTATCATACAACGTTACGCGTGACGTGACGTGCCAGTTATTTCCAGAGCGGGTGGATTGATATAGAGCGCGGGAAGCCAAATTTCCACGTAACGCTTGCAACCCTCTCCAACCAACGGCGATGCTTGCAGAATACGTCCGTCGATCCGGTAGATTCAATCACTCACCGACATGTCCGGATTTATCCTCGATCTTGCCATACATGTGGGCCTACGCCCGGTAAACTTACGGTGGACCGACATCCAAATGTCATTTAAACGCAAGCTGTTCGCGAACCCATGTTCCCTTCTTTTTTATTTTCCTCAGTACATCTGCTATGTCTCCAGCTCTTGCAGGCAGCACCTTCATTCGTCCCCATATCAACCTTGGATATAGACAGGACCATCCGGAGGGGGTTGCATCCGTCCCTGAGCTAGTGGAATTTGCTGCTTCATACAATCCTGACCATATCTTCGGCGTCCAGAATCGAACTGGCGAGAACTCTCCTTGCGATATCTCTTTCTCGCAGCTTCGGGGAGCAGTCGAATATGCTTCGTGGTGGCTGATCAGCAGCGGTTGTACAACAGGCCGGACACGACGTGATCAGGAGATCCCGCCTGTCGGGATCCTCCTCGGGAGCGACATTGGCATCTTCATATACATGACAGCACTCTTGCGTATCGGTACACCTGTGAGGAGTCGATGGCGCTTGCTTCACAAGTTGTTCAGCGTACTAACTTCTCCACTTTCTTTTTCAAAAGGTATTACTCTTGTCGGCAAGGTTAACACCCATAGCAATCGCACATCTATTAAAAGAAACATCGCCCTCTTGCGTCTTAATCGGTTCCCACGTCGCGAGGTCCTCAAAGGAGGCACTCAGCATACTCCACTCGCAGGGCTCGAGTTCTGTGCCTGCATTCGTGCATGCTCTGGGTTACGAAGACCTCCTGACTCCTGACCATGAGAGGCAAAACATTATCATACCCCCAACATATACAGATTGGAGACGCGACGACTTGGACGCTCTCGTAATGCATTCTTCTGGGACAACTGGCCTACCAAAGCCCATATACCACAGTCAGACGTATCCCCTCTTGTTCGCAGCCTGCCATCGGCTGCCTGAACAGCAGAATCCCTTCGGCTACGTTGTCTCTACATTACCATTGTACCATGTAAGTGCTCAATTTGTTGTCAATGCCTCGTACTCATCTCCGTGGCAGGGCTTTGGTCTTCTTGCCCCTTCTCTTTCCCTCTCTATTGGAATGCCTTTCATATTACCCCCTGCTTCCGCAATTCCGACGGGTAAGACGACGCTCCAGCTACTGGAATCGACTGGTGCCCGTTATATGTTCACTGTCCCCTCTATCCTAGAAGAGATGAGTCGCATATCTGGCGGGCTGGGACTTGAAGCTCTGAAAGATTTGGAAATAGTCGCCACCGGTGGAGCTCCCATGAAGGAGAGCGTCGGGGCTGAGCTAGCAGCAGCAGGAGTCAAGCTTCTGAACCATTGGGGTGAGCATTTTCAATTCCTGGTTAATTTCTAAAGTTCTTATCATATCGACCCTTCTTGTGCATATTTAGGGTGCACCGAGCTTGGAGCGATTGCTCCCATTGAGCGAGTAGTTCGTGGGTACGACTGGCACTACGTGAAACCACGAACAGACACCGGGATAACGATGATACCTCTCAACGATGGCACCAAATCGTTTAGGCTAGTCGGCTATCCCCCTGGATGGCCGCATCCTTTCGAAGTCCAGGATCTTCTCGTCACGAACCCGAATGACAGCGAACAGTACAAAATCATGGGTCGCGCCGACGACCTCCTCGTTCTCTCTACCGGGGAGAAAGTACGCCCTACAAACCTTGAACACGCAGTGGCAGAGCACCCTGCCGTGAAAGACGTTCTGGCTTTCGGTGCAGGCCAAGTCTGTCTAGGCCTGCTCATCGAGCTGTCTGCCGACAGCTTCGATTGCGCCGACGTCCATGAATCGGAAATCCGGACAGCCATTCTTGCCTCTCTGCATCCATACCTCGAACGTGGCAACTCTTTTACCGATAAACACGGCAAGATCTCGACCGAGATGGTGATTCTGACTCGAGAGAATACGAAACCATTCACTCGGACCGACAAAGGAAGTCTGGCACGCAAGTCCATTCTTACGGCGTTCGATCAGGAGATCAGGGGCTGCTACGAAAGCGCTGACGTTCAGGATGTCACACCTTTTCCATCGCTCTACCCCAGCGACAGCCCCGCACTCCTCGATTCCATTCGCACCTTGGTACACTCGATCGCCGGAAATAGTGATATCCCTGACTCTGTCGACTTCTTCGAAGCTGGAATGGATAGTCTACATGCTAGTCGACTACGGCGCGCGATAATGAATGCGCTTCACGTCACACCCGATCTCCCAGGTACCATTCAAGACCTAGACCCAGACTTCTGTTTCGAGAACTCCTCCATCGAGAAGTTGCTCGCCGCTATCACTCATCTCATGACGGGGACTCAGGTAGCCCCAAGTATGCCCGGCGATGTCAAGGAGGCGCGCCGTATTAGGGCAATGGAAGACATGTACGATAAGTATAGGGAGGAGCTGCACAACTTTCAGAGTCTTGCGGCGCATGTGCGCATTTCCAGACTCAAACGACGGGCAGCCGCTGGGTACAAGAAGGTCGTTGTCCTGACCGGTTCGACGGGGAGTTTGGGATGCTTCCTTCTCGCACGCTTGGCGAACGATCCTGAGGTTTCCAAGGTCATTTGCCTAAACCGACGTCACTCCGGCGCCACGACACCCCGACAGCGCCAAATGGATCTCATGGCCAAACGTGGCGCATATATGTCAAGTTACGCATGGGACAAAGTCGTGCTCCATGGGGCAGAGCTGAGTAGATCTGATTTTGGACTTGGTGAAAATGAGTTCTCTGAGGTACGCGATGTTGATGATAATAATCTAATCTCTGGCTAACAGTGAATGTTTTTTCTTTTTACTCCAGCTGCTTGGCACGACGCATATCATACACAACGCATGGCCAGTCAATTTCAACCGAAGCCTGTCATCTTTTGAGCCACATGTGCGCGGATTGTCGAACCTTGTGCGCCTCGCCGTTCTAAGCGCCGGCCGGCGCAATACTGGGTCTGCACCGACTCGTATATTGTTTGCCTCATCCATCGCCGTGGCCGGTCGATTCCCGTCGCTTCACCCGCATGGGCCTTTCGAAGTTCCAGAGACTGTCCTTGAGGCTGTCAACAGTGCTGGATTTGGCTACCCGGACGCCAAGTGGGTCTGCGAGCGGCTACTGTTGTGCGCATCTGAGCTCTTTGGTGATGCATCCAGCATCGAAGAGCCTCTGATACAAGGATCCAGCGTTCGTATTGGGCAGATGACAGGGCCCGAAGGTTCTGGTGCATGGAACGAGTCTGAACACTTCCCGATTATTGTTCGCACATCCCAACAACTGGGCGCGCTTCCAGCGCTTGAAGGGGTATGTCGTTTCTTTCGAATGTTGTTTTCTAGGCTGATAAGTTTTCCAGTCCTTGTCATGGATACCCGTAAATCGCGCAGGCAGCATCTTGACAGAACTGCTTTTCTCAAGGGGCTTTAAACCTTTCTATCATATGGAAAACCCCTCTCGACAGTCTTGGAATGGCATCATCAGCAATCTTTCTATCATACTTGGTGGACCTCACGGACCACTTCCTCTCATTCCTCTCTCGGAGTGGCTTGGCTGCGTTCGTGACCTTGGCGACGATCCAGCTCGTAATGCTGCATACAAGATTCTCCCGTTCTTGGAGAGGGATTTCCAGACCATGTCCAACGGGACTGTAATTTTGCGGACAGCGACTGCTAGGTTGGACTCCTTGACTATGGTGAAGAGTACAGCGTTGGATAGACAACACCTAGATGAGTACGTTTCGTATTGGAGAAGTATTGGAGCAATGTCATAGACCTATGCATCAAATCTATTATTATATTGTATTTCTTTAATTTGGTGCAAATTCTACAGTTTGGTGTACGAAAAATTGCTCAGCATAGTAGACAAGAGGAAAAAAAACATTCGGATACGGGGAATCGAACCCCGAGCTGCCGCGATCAAGTATGAGAGGCGGCAATGTTAGCCGTTACACCATATCCGATGCTACGTAGGTTTGCTCTTTGTTACTTACTTATATCTGTCACAAAGTGTTCCAACTGACATGACGAGAACAAAATGATCCTGCTTTCTGATTGTTGAATCACAGTGAATGAGTACGCAAGTCATAGTGTGGCGATAAATGCGAATATGCAACGTAAAGAGGCTCCAAAAGTCAAAGAACCATATGTACCAATCATCCAGTCGGCATTGCAGATATCGAGAGCGATGTGTCAAGGCCCCATAAACCCAATAGTCTATATCTAATCCGTACACCTGAGATCACCAGCAACGACAGCCAGCGTTGCGCCCAAACACCACCCCAGCTCTGTGCCATCCACCTTCTTCGCAATCTTGACCTCCCTCTTGTCATCAAATTCATACCCGAGCCTCAGCAGTGCGTACATGAACGTCAAGTCTAGGCAGTACTCGGGGCGGCCCTGAAGCTCAGCCATCACATCGGGATGCGTGCCCCACGTCTCGAGCCACGCGGGGCGGCCTTCGCACACTTTGCGTGCCAAGGAGGCGACGGTTGAAACGGAGAGCGTGAGAGGTGTGTCTGGCGAGGAGGATGCGGGTGGTGCAGGCAGAAGGGGAGCAAGGCGGTCGTAGAAGTAGGAGAGGAGGAAGACGTTCCCTGTTGGGAATGCATCGAGGATGGAAGGTTGGTATACACCGTTGAAGGAGCACGGCTTCACTTTGCAGATCCTGCAGGGCGATATCAGCGCGGAAAGAGGGGTAGAAAAAGAGAGAAGGGCTTACGCATCCTTGGCCATGACCAGCTCGATGATGCGGTTGCAAGCGTAGTAGGAGCCGATCTCCTCACCAACCATCGTCACGTTCTTATCGCCCAAGTCGATCTTTCTAGACATGCCCTTAGCCAAGCACGGGTTCCCAACATCTCCTACTGGTTTGCCATTCGCATGGATTTCGGCCATGAAGTCCACAAGCTTGTGGACATGCTTCCTTGCACTCATGAGGCCATAGTCAAGATACGAGTGCTGGTACAGCACATGCGACCGCTCCGCAATTGTCAGCTCGAACCGGTGGTCGCCCTCATCAAGCAGGGGCTTCCCATCGACCTTGCCCTTCGGCTCAAAGGCAATCTGCGTTGACGCCCCGCCGAGGTCCAACACGGCGTACGTCTCACCCTTTGCGACCTTCTCTAGGTTTCCGAGCAGGTAGTTCGCCGTAATCCAAGCGTACACGCCCTCGTCTTTGCCGTCCATGACTGTCACAGCCTCTCCCGGCGCAAGAGGGAACTCCCACTGGCTCTTCAGTCGCGTCTCAACGGCCTTGAGAATATCATCGGCCTGGGACCCTGCAAGTAACCTTAGGCCTGCTGTCGCCTTGACTGCGACTGGGGTGCACTTCCTCAATGCTACAGGTACAACACGCATGGCTTCGTCCATCAACACATCGAGGCTCTTAGCTGCCCCAAGGGGGTCGTGAGCGTAGCCTGAGAGACCAGGTTTGGTCTGGTGAAAGACCTCCCATTCGAAAGTTGGCGAGAGCCCACAGTTATTGAATTTGTAGATGTGAATACGAGACCCAGTGGACCCAGCGTCGATCATCAAGGCATATTGCACCAGCGAGATCCCTGGGGTATGTGGCTTGGTACAATGAGTGGTTTTCGAGGCGTCTGGATCGGATTCGAACGTGACGGGCGATGAAGACGCATTTGGTTTGGATTGGGCGTCGCCATTGAGATGTGAAGTAACTGGCGTCGAGGTGGGTATGGATGTGCGAGTGTTGGTGAGCGCAGCATCGTAGTCTGGTATTGTCTCGATGTCAGAGGTATAATCTGGAAGAAATGCATATCAGTTCATATACAGAACCACAAACAGAACACAATAATGGCAGTGCAACATTTGAAAAGACCGTTTACTCACCGTTCTTGGGTGAACTCCAGGAGAAACTTCTCGTTTCACGAGGGCCCACAAACCATACAAGTCCAATGATAATGGCTGCGCCAACAGCGAACTTTTTCCACGCAAAATGCCGGCCTTGCATACGGCTTGGCCCCATGCCACCCTCAAGACGTTCGTAGTTAGCGCTTCTTGGAGAAATTGCCATGGCCTTCGAACGTTTACGGGTATGTGCCTTCAGATACAACGATGACGAGGAAGACGATGATGACGAAGACTCCGAAAAAGAAAGTGGTGGTGAAGATTTGATGTCCGTCACGGTGGCAGCTTGATCTTTGTTTTGTCGGGCTCCGGACATTCACCGCAACACAGGGGCTCTATTGTCTGGACTTTCGACCCAGATTTGCAGGTATAAACAACGAACTGACTTTCGTCGTCGTCGTTGATGATTGCTGACATCCCAGTTTCCAGATCTACGTTCACGGAGCCTGAGTTTGGAGTGGAAAATTTACTGCCGACCCCAAGCTTCCCATTCCCATTCCGTGGTATGGCGGGTTCCCTGTCCAATGAAATGCTAGCGCTGTATAGATGTTCATGGCTGGGACTGGTACAATCGTGCTAATCCAACACACTTTTTACGCTAATATCTCCACACAGTCTCAATATCGCCGAGAACGCTATTCCAGTCCTAATCTTGTTTCCCTTGTCGTAAGTAGTCGAGATGGCACTGGAGTTTGTTTTTACCTCACGCTTCCTGTCAGCTTCTGACGAGCCGGCAACTTCACGCATCCTAAGGCGCTTCTGTTTCCTGGCATGTATCGCTCGCTTGCCTCTACCGGCCACATAATTGATTTCAACACATGGCCAATCATGCAAACCCTACATTGTTTTGTGACTTCTTTGGACTGAAGTTGATAAACATAAAAGTTCTCGTGTCCTTGGCACTGCCGCTATCTCACCAAGCAGTTCCTTAAAAGCCTCTAGAACATGCCTTGGCGAGGCCTTGACTTGTCTCGCACTCGATCCACTCCCTCTCTCATGCCGTCGCTTTGCACGCATCTGAACACAAGGCTACCTTCAGTCAGGAGCCTTCGCTTTTGCCAGCCACCGTCTCCCCTCGGAGGCGATGTTACAGAGGGATGCGAGTTCCATTATCCTGAATCCGAAGACACCTGCCGGTCAGACCGCCCCAGCCTGCATCGGACGTCCCGGCCCTTGGTTTCGATTCTCAAACGCAAAGTTTGCGGCCAGAAGAAGTCGTCCACCAATGATGACAACGGGTGCGCAAAACAACTTTCTCAAACGTTTTTTCTGCCCCACTCATTTTGCCGATCACACAGAAACTTCGCAATTTCGGTGATTCGGTACCGGACGTCATGTTGCAAAACATTGGTATGCATGGAACATATAGCCGACGTGAGTCTTTTCTTTCCTATGTACTTTTGCTTGCCCTGTCATGATGTCAACGTCGCTTGCGATCTTATCGTTTTTCTTCTAGTGGATACACGAGGTGCCATCAGATACCCACCGATGTCCGACGTGCATGCAACCGTGTGTTTTGAATCACGAATTCCCGGAGCGCACACAGCCACTCTCCGCCATGACTGTACAGTCACTGGGACCAAAGTCCGAACGTGCGCTGGCTTTGGCAGGCATGTTTCTTTTGCAGTATCTTCAGAAATTGCAAAGCCTTTCGCCACCGACATCGACATCGCCTAACGCCGTATCGCGACTGCGCGCTAAAAGCGTATTCGATCTCAGGGGCAAGGGATATCCAGAGACCGAACATTATCATGATTTGGGATCGTCAGTGCTTTCCACCGACCTCACGGAAGGGATCCTTCGTTTGACGAGCATCGGCGGGCTTACTCTCGTTCTGTTCGCCTTGCTGTCATAGACGCCTTCACTCATTTTGCCCACGAATCAAACAACAGAACTCTACACCATCCTTCATCGCATACACCTCTGCATCGATACTCCTATATATGATAACATAGATTTAGACTCCTTGACATTTTCTCACTTACGTCACAGCCTGTCTTTCGACAAGATCCAGGTGGTTCACTATTGGATGATGATATCAATCGACCTGGGGTCGGGCTATCTATCACTTCCGAAATTATGTTTTTGTAAGAAGCAATTCGAATGATGAGCTTCCGTTCATTTCGTATGATGGATAGTGTGGAATCAGCTTCCCTTGTTTGACATTTTGTCTCCCAAAGGGTTAATCATTGTTTTCACGGGATCGAAATATCGATATCGCAACTTGATTAGAACCCCCACTCGTCGACATCGTAGATTGATTCGCTGCCCTCCTCGACCGTGTTTCAGTCCCACGATGAAGGCATGCTAGAAGTTCGAAATCGGAACACGAACATGCGTACTTTTCAGCTTTTGAAGTTCAAGCCCTGCTGTGACGGAGTTCGAGCTTAGAACCAAAGTTACACGGCCGCACAGTTTTACTAATACCAAACCACCGCGTGGATGGCCACGATCTCCAAAACTGTTATGATTTTGCCACTGCCTATGTTCCAGAAGTATCTGATACGTCCTATTCAGTGTTCTTCCAGCAGAGCTAATGGATGGGTCACTGAAAACGAAGTCGGTCCTGTCTGTCACCTGTCAACGCTGGCAACAATAACTGAGTACTTTCCAACTGAAAACCTATGGTCGTGACCGACCTTTACCTCTTCCTTCACCAAGGCTTCTTTCAAGCCCTTCCTCCCCCCTTCGGGCTGCGATCAGGAGAAGCTCTGCGCCCTTATAGTCAAGTAGCTCCGGCACCGCACATGTCGCAAAGCGAAGGCCGTAGGATTCTCGTCCTTTCCTTCCCCCTTTGCCGAAGATGCCCTTCATTATGTCTTTGGGATACTCCGCGCCCTTATTGTGCACCTGACGAGGGTTAGTAGCTGGCGCCAAAGGGTTCTTGACTTGTATCACGAAGGATGCCGCCTTTCCTATCCCTAACTCTTTCTGGACGCCCCCGATCTCCCTTGGGTGTGAAATATGATATCCGAAATGCGTTGCGCGTTTTGAGGGAAGTTCCGGGTCATTGTTCACGAATGCGTATGCGCCACGAGCTGCAAGGCGAGCAGGTGCTTCATGCCTGGTACCTAAGAGCTTGTAGTTATTTCAA